ATGAGTTATGGTTCATGAAGCTTTAATTCTCCTCTTTTAGTCTTTCATTCTGCAATCTCATGCCTTAACACTTAATAAGAAATAGTCATAGAAAGATGATAAAGAAGAAATGTGAAATGAAAATGTGTAGCTATCAAAAGTTTGAGAACTGGCGTGTGAAGCTCGTTAGTTCTCAATATCAAACATATTTTATCAACACAACAATGAGGCATCAACAGAATCTTTCATTATAATTATTAATCACTCTTGTTGCCTCCTTCATATTACTTGCATTTAATACTTTAATAATTTTTTCTAAAGACTCGATGAATGAAAGTTGATGAATTTTGCTAATTCATTGCTTTTCAATCTGTAAATGATCGATTTTATCTTGAGACTACATATTACTTTGCTAACAACGTTTGATGAAAAGCTTAAAGTAGAATGAATTAATGTCAATCAAATATTTTATCGAATTCTTTTGCAATAATTTCTTTGATGCAAAACAATTGGGATGATTCCAAGTCATTTAATGAAATTCTCAGAAAGATCAAACATTATCGCATGTATGTCGACTTGAATCTGATGGCGTGGATTGTAAGGTAGCCTAATTAAATCAATTTTAAAAATCGCCTCAAAACAAAATCTTGCTTTCAACAAAGTGAGTGAAGAAAAAGAGTTTTTGATGGACACATTAATTTGCAATCAAACTTGACATCAAGAGTCAATTATGGGCTTCAATTTATTCAAATAAATGCTTCGTGTATCGGATTTAGTGTTTTATTTTATTACACAAAAGCAATTTACTGTTAAATCAAAATTAAAATACAGATTAGAGCTTGAAGATAGTCGACACGATTTATATGGTAGATTAATGGTTATTAAGCCATTCATTCCATTTGAAAATCATCACAAGAAAGAAATTGTCAAAAGAAAAGAGAGATAGTAAAATAAAAGTTAAAAGTTCTTATGTGAATATAATTAACTGAACTGAAATTTATTCCCAAAACCAAATAAAATTGTTACCTCCTTAAGCTTCCCTCAACAAAAGAGTGACCGTAAATTGCTTGTTTATTCAAAAATCAGGTTTATTTTGTGACTCTTTGATATATTTTTCTGTATCTTTTATATCTTCTTCTTTTCATTCCATTTCGTTCCTTTTTGTTGTGTTTTGTGTTGTGTTGAGAAATATGCGCGACATAAAATTGGTTTATAGTCAAGGTGTCGAACGCTATGTCTCTCTACAAAGCTAATAAAGAGTTGAAGATGTGCTTTCGAGACACAAGAAAGATTCAATTCAAATTGATTAATGGATCATCAGAAATTAAGACATTAATTTGTTTATTCAGAATTTGTTAGCATTGAGAGTGAGCTATAAGAGCTTATCAATGTTCGAATGGCCGTAAAACTTTTATTTTTTAAATTGATTTTAATGGATTTTGTGCGATGTGATGAAAGGAATCTTTTCTCCATTCCATGCTTTTTGGGAAAAGTCTCGGAATTAAAAATGAGAAAAGATTCAAATGAGATTTATTTCATTGGCAATAAAACCTGCGTTTGCTATTGCTATTATGGAGCCAGAAGAGAGATACATTGCTTTAAATGGAACCGCAAGTAGAAAATCAATGGTAATGTACATAAGTCAAGTGAGAGAATCCTTTTTGGTGCTAATTAATAATTTATAACATCTTTTCATTTCCGTTTTTAACATCAAACAATGTTCAATTTAATTTATGTACATTTTGCTCCTCTTTCTCAAGACTCCACTCGATGTAAGTATTGTAAAAGCAGAGAGTATATGAAGTGAAAAATTTGTCAACCTGCTCAGACATCGTCAGCAATAAAAATGAAAAATTATAAGACATCATCGCAATTTATAATCAATTAAATGAAATTTTTTTCCTTGTATCATTTATTCAACTTTAATGTCATGTTCAATTAAGAATTATAATTGATTCATGTTTATAATGTGTCTTGTTATCGTTATAAAATATCATGTTATGATAATGTCTGTGACGGTATTTCACTACTAGTGACTATCTCCTCAACATCTTCTCAACGATCATATTGATGTTTTTGACTGACTGAAAATGAGCAACACTGAAGACTGAAAATGTTGCGAAAAGGTTTTGGAATGTATGTGAGAAGATATTTGATAAAGTAAAAAGTGTATTGGCACTGAATTGCAGAAGCGCCAGACACACACATAATGCGCAACTTCGATTTCTCGCTCTTTTAATTTTATATTAATTCTACACTTCAGAAATTCTTGGTAGAAACCAAGAAAATATACAGTAAATCATGTGCAACCTCACAATTATGAATTTCAACACTGTGATATTATTCAATTGATAAGTAAGCAAGCAAGTCGAAGCAAATGTTCATTGAAAATTCAATAATGAAAAATTTCTTGCATTTGTTAATCGTTTTATGTCCTCTGGCGCTTTCAGTTGCCATTTCATTCTCTCGTATAAATTTGCTTTAAATTGTCGGACGTAAAATTGTGCGCGCCTCAAATTGAATAAAATTTCTTAACAGTTCACTCCTTCATTTCAAATTCACAGATATTTTTGTTCGATTTTGAAATTTATTATTCAATGACCACCCATTAATTGTTAACACATTTGCGAACGATATTATGAGGCATATAATTAGCGATTAGCAAAAAGTCATAAATATTCAATTCAAAGTTTTACAAAATTTATTTACACTTGTCTCGGGCATATAATAAAAATCAGTGACTAACCATTTCTGTTCATTTACACAAAATTACTATGAAAGGAGATCAAAATCAATCGGTTTATGTTTTGATGATAAATATTCTGAAATAAATCACGATTTGTGTTTTTGGATGAAAAAGACGAGAGAACAAAACTATAAAATGTACCATAAAAGCGCATCAAACAACCATGGACGATGACATAATCTAAAGGAATGTGATCTTTCAATTTATCTTCTTCCTCTTATTTTCGGATCCCAAATATCTCACATCTTCTCATTCTTCTTTTTATTCTGATTCTCCTGTATCCATTCATTCTTTTGTACATCGACGACAGTTATAAAGACAGTGACAAAGTGAATTTATTCTGTTTATCACTTCATTAAGTTTCTCTCACTTTCGGCTGATCGTTTCCTTTATTTCACTGTAGTGTTGTATTAATTTTTGATACATTTCAAAGCAGGCTTATAACAGGAGATAGAAGAAAAAATGAAAATGTTTAATTTATTGCCACACGATTCTCCCAAGAGCATCCTTTTTGAAATGCAGTTTTGCTGTTTACAGTTTGACTACTAAAGCTTATTAAGATTGTAAGTTGAAATTTTAGATGTGTGCCTAAATCTCATACCTATTCATTCATTAACATCAAGTTCTTATTTTTATCTTTTAATGATCTGAAATTTTAAATATTTAAACTCATGAAAATAATAAAAGGCAGGTTTTTAGAAAATATATATCTTAATGTTAAATAAATGTTTTCAAAGTAATATAGGGTAAACCATGTTGAAATTTGTGCGATCAAATGAAATGTAAATCATCTAAACTAAACCATTTATAGAAAAAATTTGTATGCAGTTCTTTGTAAAGCAGTTATTAAAACTTTTCTACCTTATTTTGGATTGTGTTGAAGGTTCTTATAGCTTTAAATTTCAATTATTCAAAATCCTATACAAAATGAAAGTTTTCATCTTTTTAATTATTTGGACTCAACTAATGATTCTTCTTACCCCATCAGAGTTGAAAAACAAATTTTCTTTATTGCTTTATCGATTAAAAAAGTTTCTGCGTACGAAAAGTCATTGGAAGTATTTTAAAAATTGATTTTAAAATGAGTTGTTTTCAAATGTTGAAATTTTTGCGAAATTTTTTGACAAATTTTGAAATTTGTGTGGGTTTTTAGAGGCATGAATCAAGATTAAGACAAAAATAACACGAAGAACACATGAACTGAGAGTAATGAAAAATGTGTTCGACTCAAATATTCATACAGAATCAAGAAATTTCAAAAATGCAACCAACTTCAAAAAATATTACAAGAACAAAAAAGCATTCAAGAACTACGTTCTGTTTTCAGTCCCAAATAGATGATATACAATAAACTTCGTTAAAATACTCTTCTTTCTTTTTTTTCTCAAAACAATTTTGCAAAATTCTGTAAACTTTATCGTGAATAAATTTTGCAAAAAAAACATTTGAAGGATGTGCTTGGTTTTAATGGTGTCTTCTCGTCATACTCAGTCAACATAAATGATAAATAATTTTGTAAATCTTGAAAAAAGTTCATTAATGCAGCAATGTCCTTTAAAATTGAAATGGAGTTTATTTGAAAGTGTTCCTTAAAAGCAATCACCATTTAAAACCCTCGAAAATGCGTAAAACTGTTGTTTGTTTACATTTCTGAATTGAAATGTGTCAAATTTTAAAATTTTCCGCACAAATTTCAACATTTGACCAAAAATGTCAAATTTCTCTTCCTATAAGCAGCACAACCATCACTAAGTATAAAAAAATGAAAATACCAACAATTTTTGATAATTTAAGAACAACCGTAAATTTTTAGAGTAAGGCATTAAAAAGTTATAAGCAAATGAAATCTTCAAGTGCAAAAACACACAAATTTCAATATGGTTTACCAGGGGCGTAGCCAGGGGGGGGGGGGGTATAGGGAGCCCGGGCCCCCCCTACGAAAATCTGATAATTGTTCTATTAAGTATTTATAGAGAAGAACCAGTTAATGTAGAGGAAGTGATGAAAGAAATGTCAAAATCAGCACGAAAAATTAAATTTAATGTATGAATAATGAATTAAATACTTAAACTTATGAACAATGAATATAGATTTAAGGATACAAAATAACGGTTTTTTTAATTTTCGCAAATGGGCCCCCCCCTTAAAAATTTTCTGGCTACGCCCCTGGTTTACCCTATAAAAAAAAGCTCTCGAGATATTATTCAAATATCTTATTACCGTTCCAAACATTATAGCAATTATCAAATTTTATATTTAAACTGTGATTTGATTCCAAGCAGCACTGGTTATGTCCAAATATTTTAAAATATGAAAATCACAATTTTGTATGGGATTTTGAATTTTTAAAATGTAAAGCTGCTCCAAGCTTCGAGACTGTCCAAAATGATGTAGAAATGTTTGTACAACTGTTTTACACAGAACTGCAAACAACATTTTGGTTTAAATGGCTTATTTGGGCTGATTTCTTTTTTATTTGAGCGCACAAATTTCAACATGGTTTACCCTACCAGTATAAAAATATCAATAGTAAATATTATGATCACTCAATTCTTAAATAATAATAAATTTCAAAAGTTATCTATAAAAGTGGATGATACCTCAAAGTTCAGTCTTAACTTATTGATTCAAGTATCTCCAAAATGATTAGGACCCTGGCATTTCATGTTTAATCCAGACTAATTTGCCAAAATCCTAATGCTCAATGATTCTCTCAATATTTACAAACTGTCAGTGATTCGTTAAAGTTGAATCACTTTGACGTTTTCACAAAAGTGAACTTTCTTCTTACTATATTTATAGACATCCTTCTTTTTGCTTGGTTCCTTAATACAAGACTTGAAGATGCTTCCATGTTGATCATCGTCCATCATCTTTAGCAACTGATTCGTAATTCTACTTAAAGAAACATCAAGAACATTTGATGGGACATTTGGATTCGCATTCTCCACATTCTCATTCATAGTTTTACGGGCAGCATCATTCTTATCGACGGAAGCAGAAATCGAAATAAAATAATATTTCCTGTTAATTGAGGTGTCATTTTAAAAAAATTATCAATTTACCAAAACATCAGAATGAGTTACTCCTTTCTCTGAGTTTCGCTTGCGCTTACGTGACTCAATTTTAACCTTGTTTGCTTCTTCTAGTTTGTAGATGTTTTCTGACATTCGTTTTGTTGAACTGATTAATTGAGCAATCTTATGATCTTGTGCTTTGATGATCTCGAGTTTATTCTCAATTATATCTTCCTTACTCATTATTACAAGTTCTTTCTCATCGATAATATGATTCAGTTCCATAGTATCAGCTGCATGCTGTTCGATGATTAGATCTTTTTCATGTACAACCTCTTGATAATATACGAGAATTTCTTCTTGTTTGATCAGAATGTCCTCTTTTCGTTTCATTTCCAAAACATGATGATCGATAACGATATCCTTTTTCTTAAGCTTATCATCGTATTGAGCAATAATGATGTCTTTCTGATTGATGATCACTTTCTTCAACTTCAGTTCATCCTTCAATCGTGATATCATTGCATCCTTTTCTTCAAGTTCCAAATTTAAGCATTCAATATCCAGCTTCAAAAGATCACACCGCATTTTAGACATATCTTCATTCTTCCTTGAATTTGCATTGTTGGCTAATGATTTCTTGTTCTTTCGACTTCCCATGATTAACCGTTGACTGTTATTTTTTACGTATTGATAATATATAAAATCGAATTCAAATGAAGAAAATCTTCAAAAACCATTTTCCTTTGTTTACTGATATCAAACTTTCCTTGAATTTCATCTTCTAATTGTTTTTTTTTTTTCTTTTTTTTCTCATTGCAGCAATTAAAGTGATCACAGGTCATCCTTTTGATATCTTAAAATCAAGAATTCAGAGTTAAAGAATAAGATGACCCCGTGCATAAGAATAAAACGTGATTTATAAAGAAAATTATTTGATTTGAGGTAAGTAGAACTTAATTAAGTTTTTCATATTCACAATCACTTAATGCTGACTTTCAAACACATGATCAATGGCTTTAGTAGACACAAACAGCTTTAAATAACACAAAAATATAAATTTATCACTGGCGTGATTCTTAAAATCATCAAAAACTGCGCCTTTGCTTCAAATATCAATTCTTTATTCTAACTTCATTATTTTGGGTTGCTTCCTTGTATCTTTTACTCTTTAGCCTTTAAGATTGAGAACAACAATATAATTACTACGTCCTTGAATGAAAACCTTTATTTTCGGTTTTCAACAGAGGGACCAAAAAGTCAAAAGATAAGAATGAAGGTGTTTTTAGTAGTGTCTCGATTCCTTTTCCTTCTTTGTTTTGGATAAAGAACATTTTAATTTCTTAATTGCTTTAGTCGTCTGACAGGGGAACTTATACATTTTTTTAAATTAATGATTTGACATTAGTAGGAAGCAAGTTGTGAGCAAGGCACAGAAAAATGAAAAGGATTAAGTTGAATTTTTGATTTTTTTTTTCACTTTGTCATTCATCCACTTTATTAAATCAAAACCTAATTTAAATCACAACGGGCGGCGTTAGTGGATTACAGACACACACTAGACTAAAAACTTATCTCACAGCATCCGTACAAACATTGACTAATCGAATTAAAATATTATAACGTCAATTACAAGTCTTTAAAGTTCCATTCAATATCATCATCATCCATTTTCCAATCGTAGTTCGTGACTGCTTAACAGTAGTTACGGCAGCATTTTTCTTTCGCTATTTCTACATCTCATGTAGTTTTTTTGTTCCACAATTTTTTTAAAGAAGAAAAAAAATTTCTTTTCACGCTTTGTAGAGAGAAAAGTTCCATTACGCCTCCCTATGATGTCCAAAAAACTCTTTTTTAATTAAAAAATAAATTTACACTTGAATTATCTCTTACAATCATCAATGAGAAAGAAATCGATCTGTGCGCTGACTTTCAGCAGTAGCATATATCTTAGTATTAAATTTAGATCACATTAGTCTAGTCATTTCCTTTACACACGCTGTGCCTTAAGAAATTTTAGATGAGAAAATATTTTGAAAATTATTCAACAAAACTTCTTCGTCAGCCAACAATATTGTTCGTTAGTTCTAAAGTTATTCAATTGTTTGATCTATTGTTAAGAAATTACTAACTGTTGTTCGGCTGTTCGATCAATCAAAGGGAAATTTTGCTGAAAATACCGTGTTATGGATCATGATTCTCTTCTTTCACATTGATTCTACATTATCATGAATGTGAAGGTGGGAATTTGTACTGTAATAAAGAAGCTGGAAGAATTTCATGTAGTACGAATCAGGCTGATCATTATGAAAATATTAAGAATGTAATTTAAAAAAATTGACAAAAAAAAAATCGTAAATCAAATTTCTGGCATTAAAAAATCAAACTCATACTATGTTGAACAATCTATTGACTCAGCAGTCGTCTCTTTCTAGCAAACATACACCAAAAAGCCATAGTCATTTTATGTAAATGACTACCAACTTAGTAAGTGTTGTTGGTTTTGGTTTCTTTGTATTGTAATTATGGCTATTTGTAGTGTAAATTGTTTAATAAGTTACAATTTTAAAGCTACTTCCATGTGAAAATAAATAAGTACATATAAACTTTCCCACAACTAAACAGTTCCACTACTTTACTAGATGACAAATATTTTAATTTTCTAATTCTAAAATATTTGATCGAAAATGTATTCAAGTGTTTTGGAAAAGTGAAGGAATTTTGTTTAGACACATTGTGTGAGAAGGGATGTTTAGATAAGGAATTTTTGGTTCAATGTATCTTTAAATGTATATGATGGCATGCTTTGTAGTGACACTTCGGGTAATTAAATCAAAATGTTTATTTTATGGTCAATTTAAATGCCAATAGTGAAGTTTTGGATATTACCTGCAACATTTCACCAAAAAAATTGGATAGGATAAAAACTTTACATGCACAAAAGTTTAAGTAGGAAGAATTCTTTCAATACCTATGTGAACATTTATGACGCGATAAATTAATCTTTTCAATTAGTTTCTTCCTTCATTCGGTTTGACGCTGACAAAGGAACAAGTGATTTAAATGTAAATTTGTTTCAAAAACAGAGCCCATAAAAAGCATTTGTCCATAAATTGTCGGAGATCCAATAAAACTCGTGATTTTTATTTGTTTTCCCTTTAAGCAAAGAAATTTCTTCTCTCGTATTATATAAATTTATAGCTGGCTCTTAAAACTCATGATCGCTATAGTTATGAACCTTCAAATAAATACAACATTGTAAGACAGGAAAAGTACATTGCATGCAGCACCACATCATTTGCAATAAACCAGGAGAATATTAAAATGTTTCTTGGCGTTTTAATTAAAATGATAATTTTTATGAAGCACTTTGCAACATTAATGCATTAAAGCTAAAAATATTTACACGATTTAATCAACCATATGTAAATATAATCTTTATTATAAGCTTATCTCATATGACTAATTGACAATTTAATGGTTTCATTACCGAAAAAATTTAATTGCTTTAAATTGGTTCTGGGTGTTTCATGAAGTGCATGCATTAACAAGAATTACACAACTTTTGATCATTTTCTGTCTGTTTATTGTACCTGTTTGTAATGTCAATTTTATGCTAATTATTGCTCTCGTTGTTTCCATGCTGTCTAGCTGAAACTGTTGAGCAATTTTATTGAGATTCTTTTATGGACATTGATGTTCTATAAAACTGAACATTTCTCCCAAAATAAGACAGTTCAAGTCATGATTTCTTTCTTTGTCAAGACATCCGAAACTGTCAAGCATTCTGCAATTTTTTATTTATATTTTTAAAATCTAGCGATTCATTACACCAAAACCATTGGATATACATTTTTATAGCGTACATTCATTCGAATTACGATTGACCTTTTAAAATTGTTTTCATCTATAACAGTCCTGCTGTCATCCACCTCAACAGAGTTTTAAATGTAGTTTTTACAACTTTCTTTAATTTGTTTTTGTCGGCTTTGATGAGCATCACAGGTGTTTTATAATTATTAATCTATAAAATTTTACGATGTGCAAATATTTTCAGGCTTATCATATTTTACAAAGTATGGATCAGCTTGTCTTTAAGAATTTGGAGGATTAAAACAGTTTTTTGGGGATAGTCTGCAGGTTTTGACACTCTTTTCTCACTTGTAAAGTTAACCACTTGAAAAAATTTTCTTGACATGCACCTGATCCTACTTATTTCTATGTCGCAAATTCTGTGACTGACTATGCTGATTTTTTAATGACAGCATGTGTTGCAAATTAACATATTTCTGTGTTTTTCAAAAAAAAATGAAAGAATCAAAGATTTGGCATGAATATACAAAGTAAAATAAGAATAATAATGATAAGACAGATAACATATGCAGTATAAGTAAATTTACAGACAAAAAGTTGCTTTATTATGGCATTAATGATATTTTGTGGTCATAAGAAAGATAAAGTAAAGTTTTGAGCAGCCAAATCCTTCCCAAAAAATAAAGATGAAAATATTTATTCAAAAATAAATAAAATTATTCAAATGTGATTATCGACTCTTGAGCAGGAATTTAAATGAGGGACGATTTGACGATGTTTGAGGTTCAAAAATTCATGAAAGAATATTTGCCGCATAAATTGTAGTCAATATTAGAGTTTAATGATGATATCTTCATTTTCGGATCGAGAGAGTGTTATAAGAGACACAAAAGATGGAAGAAGTGAACAACTTAAAATAAATAAATTCGGTTTTAAGTTTGATTTTAACACTTCTGAAGTGGCTTTTTATAAAACACGTTTTGTCCATATTCTGAAAGCTCTTTAATATATTAAAAACGTTAATGATAACACTAAATTAGTCTCATCATTTTCATCTTTAGTTTACATATTGAGAGAGCATTCTCAAATATCCAAATATAGAAACAATTTTCCATCATTTGTTTTGTTCCTTCTTACTTTATCTTCTCCTCATTCGACATACATACGTACGCACAAATCTTAAATATCTCTGAATGGCATTATTGAATTCTTTATGTCTCGTAACTTACAGAATCGTTCAAGACAAACTTAATGGGATATTGACTGAACTTTTAGTCGATAGATTAGAACGCATTTGCTTAAATTTTGCTTTTGTGTTTTAACGTTTGTTTTAATAATTTGAATTTTAACGAAATTTTAAATTTTAAATTAACAATTTTAAGAATTTGCATCCAATTTTTTTGTAACAGATTTTCAATTCCGTTTGCCCGTGTTTTCCTTATAAGTCCTACATTGATTGAATTTTCATTATCATGACTTATATTATAAAGGACAAAGTGCATCACTCAGCATCTCATTTTAAAGCACGAACAAAGAAGCATAAAGAATCCTATAACTCATTTCACTAAAGTTCATATCAAATTGAAAAATCTTTGTCATTTAACTCTCTTTTATGTAGTCACTATGATGATTGAATTGATCATTTTATGCCATATATAAAACGATTTATTTCACCTGACAAAGATCAAAAGGTTTTTTTTTTTTGAACAATAAGCCGCTTTCTCTCTTTATGATGACATGTGAAACAACTGAATGAACTTGAAATGAAATAAAAATAACAAAATGTTTATAGTAGAAGCAAAAACAGTTGCGATTTTTGTGACTGGTACATGTGAAAAGTTAATTCAAGCATTGTGATGTCTTTATTTATACAAGCTGAATGATTTATTTTGAATATAAATATGCGACTGAATATTTATTCATCTATATATGAGTACAACAATGAAGTGATAATTCATGTAAAAGCCATTATTTTATTTTTTGTCGAAGATTGCATTTTAAGATAGTCCATTATTGATATGAACATGAGCATTAACAACTTTTTGCACGCTTCAAAATATCTCCTTTTTGCATTTTTTTTTGTGAAAATATTTGAGTCACGCAATATTGCTATTACTGCAGACACAGACACTTACTCAACTCATTTTTAAAATTAAAATATTTTAACGTCCTCACTCATAATCTTCAATTTGTTTCATGCTCAATAAATATGTATAATTCTCATTAATAGTGGTTCTTAAACTGTGTGAGGCTTTTGTAACGGTAATATGAGGATTGTATAATCTGCGAAACTTGATTGATAATAACAGGCGTATTATAATATATTTACAGAATATTGCCTCCTGTGCATCGACATTTATACCATTTAGTTCCTGTTGACTTGATCGTCATCGAAATCAAATTTTTGCTTTTAATACATTAGCGGACATTAGCATACTATAAGTACGTTAAAGGATAGATTAAAAGCCTATTCTAAACAGCACAGTCCACAAATCATCTGAATTCCTTGTCCATGTTTGAGCTCTCTGTGCCTACAGCACACTGGCATACTGATTCTGTGTGCTGCACATTTGATGTAGCAAGTAGCTACTTTGGTTTTGTTTCTTCTGAATGATTGTTTACTCACAAAGCGCGCGTTGACTTTCGACAGTTTATTCAGCTTCTCTCTTAATAAAGGACCATATTTCCTTTTGCCAATTTCATGTTTGTCTGTCGATCTGATGAATTGGATCTTTTGAATCTTCTGGTCGTATTTCGTAATTTAGTCTATTTCTTGACTCGAGAACTTCACTATCAGCTCTTACTTCGTCATCTGTAATAAAATTGAATCAAAAAAATAGAAACGTGAATGAATTACATAAAGAAATATTTTTATTTCCGTTACATTTCATACCAGCTCTAGAACCCATGAGATGATAACAACGGACATAGAAAATTCAAAAAACGAGCAAACAAGGGGGCTGACAGACAAACACAGTTTTGAATTTATTGTTGAACCCTGAATAAATTGCTAATAAAATTTTTTTTATTAAATTTAACAATATTTTAAGAATATGGAAGATTCTGAGATTCCTGACACTGAAAAGATCCGTATAGTTAGTGATTTTATCCTTCACGCTCCACCAGGTACGTTAAAAAGTCAATTTACAATGTTAAAAGTGTACAAAAAGTGAAAAATTTCATTTGCAGGAGAATTTAATGAAGTTTTTAATGATGTCCGGGTTTTACTTAAAAATGACAATTTACTGAAAGAAAAAGCAGGATCAGCATTTGCACAATATAACAAAGATCAATTAACACCAGTTCGTCTAGAAAGCACCGAATCCTATGCTTTAATAACAGAGTTTAATGATTTGGGTAAGTGAAATAATGTGTCATCATCAAATTTGTTGTTGTGGATGGATCTTCTTTATGAGAAGACAATTGTTTTAATTTGCTCTAATTTCTCACGCTTCTTAATTATTTCGGATTTGTACAGAAGCTAGAAAGATTCTAAAAGAATTAATTACAGTGAGTTTTAGTGTACTTTCGTTGGGGCGTTGACAATGCAATATGATACACTCAAAATTTATGTATGACTCATAAGTAGTTGGTTGATAAACAAGAGAAAAAAAATGTTCTTCGACTGATATGCTTCATTGTGTGAAAATCAATTTTTATACTGTATTGATAACACTAATCTCTCTTTCTTGCATGCATAGGTGGTGGACGTTTCTTCGATCCGCGCACAAAGCAATCATTCAAGTATGATCATTTAAGGAAGGAAGCTTCAGATTTTCAGAATTATGAGCCAGATTCAGTTGCAGAGCATTGGCGTTCAGCGCTGGACGTAGAAGCAATTCAGTATACTGGAAATCATTATCGTCATGGTGTGTGTTCCGTATTTGGCAAAAGCGATCCTTCGACAAATCAAATTACTTTATCATTGTGCATTGAAGATCACCAGTTTCAACCTCAGAATTACTGGAACGGAAAATGGCGTTCACAATGGAACTTTACATTTTCCAGCTCTGGATCTGGTGCTGCTGAAATCAAAGGAGTACTGAAAGTTCAGGTAGATTCTCAATAACTTTTGTATTATATCATTTATTCTTAATGTGTGACTGCATTTTAGGTACATTATTATGAGGACGGGAATGTCCAATTAGTTTCATCGAAAGAGTGCCGCGAGTCCGTTATAATAACGAACGAGATTCAGACAGCGAAGGAAATAATTAAAATAGTTGAAGATAGCGAGCAAGACTATCAAATGGCAATATCAGAGAATTATCAAACTATGTCTGATACAACATTTAAAGCACTTCGTCGTCAATTGCCGGTGACTCGTACGAAAATCGATTGGGCCAAAATTGTATCGTATTCGATTGGAAAGGAACTGAAAACGCAATAATAATGAATGAATTCCATTGTGCTCATCGTCATATATATGTTTAATTATTTTTCATCATCTTATTTTACTACAATTATTGTATTCTACTCGGTTTTTCTTTTGTTTTAAGAAAGTTTTATCGAAATTTTATATTAATAATATATTTTATACCTTAAATATCATTGTGTATTCTTAATCACAATTTACAAAGAAACAATGCCTTTTATACATTAATTGTATTTTTATAAATTGTGTAATTGAAATTTTTCGTCAATTTTGTCTCTAGATCAAAACTATAATTCGCATTTTTCAAAATATTCTTTAATTTCCTTAAAACAAAAACAAAAAAACGACATGAGCCTTCTTAATTAAATCTTTCAAACATTATTATTGACTAAATTAATTAAAAATCTGCATCAACTTATGATACTTTAAATGAAACGAATAACGCGTTAAAAAGTATTTCCAAGCATTTCTGCATTTTTATTAATTATGAATAAAACGGTTCATATTAGATAAAGTAACTCATGAGCATCAATATATAATGATGAATATTAAGAAGCTCCCCCCCCTCTCCTAAAAATGCATCAAATCAAACCGTGAATAAAATAAATGAATAACTAATTATATTAACAATAATTGAAAATCTTGCATTATGAAATGATAAAACTGCAAAGACATTAATCACAAAATAAAATGAAATTGTTAGATAACAAAATTTTCTGTCTTTTACATATTTACAAACCACGTGATCAAATTAAACATCGACCGTTAAGTTTTTGAATCTTAAGAACCATACAAATTTATTATGGCTTTTGTACTGTTTTGCAACAATTTCACAAGAATTTGTACGGTTTTTGATTTGAAATATAGCATATGGCATTAAGTTGCATCCCTAGGATACCTTTTTGCTCAGGTGAAGTTAAGTGATTAAAAGCATTAATTAAAGTGAGATTGTACTGTTAAAAAGCCATAATGGATTACATAAACTTGTTACCGAATCATGTTTTGACTAAAATCTTTGGAAATCTAAGTCCAGGAATGACAAAATCCTGCGCATTAGTCTGTAAAAGGTAATAAAAAATATTCATTTTAAATATAAAACTTTGTTCAAATTTTCTTTTATTAAACAATTTCTACAGATGGGACGAGATAATTGGAACAACTAGTGAATTGATGAAAAGATATCAACTGAACCTGGAAGATATAGAAGAACATGAAATGAAGAAGGCGATGAAAATACAAAGAAAGCATCAAAGAGTTCTTGCTGATTGGTCAAAATCGTCACTGAATGTCATATTGCGTCATAAACTGCAATTCCTCACGTTTACAGAATTTGAGTACACACCAGTTAAGCTATCAACATTAGTCGAGACATTAAACAATTTACCATCCCTTAAATACTTTGATGCTAACTTGCTTACATTAAAAAAATCCGAAAATTGTTTAAATCAAGTCAGTACCAATATTGAACAACTTAAGTGTGCGGTCGAAGTCATCGGTATATTTGCCTGCTGTACTGTTAGGAAGTTGAAAATATATTCGTATCGATCGCGATCATTTAATAAGCAAATGAATTATTCAATCTTCAATTTTTTGAAAACTCAAAAGGATCTGGAAGAATTGGAATTAATCGGAAAGCAATTTAGTGAGCTATTCATTTTACCTGATTTCATCGTGCTCAAATTTCCCCTGAAAGTTCTAAAGTACAGTAGTTGCACGCCTTTTACTCATTATAAAGAATTTATCAAGTTCTTAAATCAACACAAGAGAACGTTAACAAGTTTGGAAGTAGATTATAGCACAGAGCCACAGTTTGGAATTGAATTAATTCATAAATTTGCATTGGAGAATCTTATCAATCTTAAACATTTCAAAATTGGTCATCTTCGTGATAATCATCAAATATCATATCATGAGCTGACTGATTCAACATCAATCACCAAAAATGTGGAAAGTCTCGCGATAAAAGCACGATCAACGGACATGAACGAGAATAAGAGGTTCTTGAATATGTTTCCAAACATTAAGAAATTGAATTTTGATAAATCAGAAAATGATGAAGAGCTTCTTTGTTGCATTAGTGAAATATGCGTGAACATAGAAAGACTCGAAGTATCAAGTTTAGATAAAGATTTTAATAATCCTAAAATCCTTTTTCCAAAGCTGAAGGAGTTAATCATTAATCATGATGGAGGAGATATTTCTGTTTTCATAACACGACATTCAAATACTTTGGAGAAAATATCATTTAAAGAATTTGATTATTTTCCTAGTTCATTTTCTAAATCAGTCTTAAGCTGTCCCAACCTGAATTATCTTGAACTCAATCTTGGAGAGCTAAGTTTTGCATCAATTGTAATGATATATTCAATTTCATCAAGAAGTAAACCCTTCAAATTGGTCTTTACAAGAACGCGCCCAAGTTTCGATTCAAACTTTGTAACACAGCACTATACATTCAATTTTCCTGAAGATATAGCTATTTTTAAAGATTTTTGGGATGAAAATGAGTGTGATTAATTTAAATCATTCTATCTTTAAGTCATGTGCTTATTTTTTTCGTTTTATTAATTTGTATTTCTGTTAAATAACTAGTATATAAATTATCCTTAAAAAATATTAGTTGAGCTTTGAATTTAATAAAGGTTTAATAAAAGTAAAGTAATATTAAATAATAATAGACGTTATAGAAATTTTTACAAAATTTTAAATTATTTATTTTAAGATATGCTAGGGGTCTCTGGGGGTTACAGTCACTAAGTGAGTTTTGCGCCATCTCGTGCCGATAATCAAAGCGGCTTTTTTGAGCATAAAACACTTTAGTGAATCAGTGAGTGACGAGTCTTTTACCGAATAACATCGTTGCTGTAATTTTTTTTCCTAAAATCTCGATTTCCGGCATTTCGCGCAATTATTGATAAATTTAATTTATAGCTTAATATTCTGAAGTGCATTCTTTTAAAATCAGTAAAATTAGATAAGAAATCGTGTAAAGAATCAACGCATAAAAATTATATTACACCCAAATTACAACCACTACTTTAAGTGTCTTTCTTCTTTTTACCTGTCTCACATGTATTCAGTTTTATACTTATATATAGTATACCAAATACAGGTAACATAAAATAACATGGCACAACACAAGCAATAGAATAAGGAATAATAAATGTGTAAGAAAAAAAGAAGATGATGATCGTAAAATCTTGAAAAAAATAATAAGAGAATAAGAAGAAGGCAAGAAGTGGAAAAAAGTTAAAGTGAAAGAGAAGAAAATAAGAAGAATAAAAAAATTGTTAAAACCAGAATTTTGTATGTATGATTCATAACAAGTACAAAATATAATAAGTGAAATAAAAAAGTCTATGAAATGAAATTTAATTAAATTAACAAAGAGCTTCTTGTGAATTTAAAGTGTCTCGATTTGTGTGCCTTTTGCATCATCAATGAATATAAAACCACATAGAAGAAAAAAATGAGATGATTAATTGAAGAAATATTTAATGAAGTGATGAATAAAGAAGAAGCTTATGTATAAGTCAATCACAAAAAAAAAAATTAAGTGAATGCATGAGTAATAAATAAAAATAAATAAACAATAATTGAGAGCCAAAAATGGGAACATCTAAGAATATGGAAAAGTTCATATCAATTATTCTATTTGTGTGCCTATTAAGTGCTACAATAGCTGAAATAAGTAGTAGTGTTGACAATCGAAAACCAATCATAAGAGATTGTAAGTCATATGCACCGTCTATTAAAGAAGAACAACCACATAGCACATATGTGACTAGAATTGACGCATATGATCCGGATAAACAGGATCGAATTGATTTTGGATTTATTATGCCAACAAGTGAAAGACCAAAATTTAAAATTGATCCCGCAAGTGGAATAATTACGACAAATCACATTTTTGATCGCGACGAGCCGGCTCGTGAAAAAGAAATTTACTTAACCGTTCGTGTCACAGATAATGGAAGACCACCACTCGAAGATATTTGTACATTCAAAGTCACAATTGAGGATATAAATGACAATCCACCGGTATTTGATAAAAGCAAATATAGTGAGCCACTACCTGAAGATAGACAGGTAAAAGATCAAGTGATGAGAATTTCAGCAACTGATCTCGACGACGGCGAATTTTCAGTTGTGAGATATAAATTACTGGATAACAAGCCACATGCAAAATATTTTCATTTAGATAATATTACTGGTGTGTTGACATTGGCAAGACCAATTGATAAGAAACCGGGTCAGTGGTATACGATCAACGTACAAGCTTATAATATTAAACCAGACGAGAATCAACTGGCTGACACAGAAGTTAAAATTGAGGTCATAGAATCAAGTAAAAAGGCGCCAACATTTGTTGATCCACCAAATGATCCAATAATTTTGAAAGAAAATTTTAATCAGTTCGAAAAGAAGTTGGTCACCTTATCTGCGAAATCAAATGTTCCTGAAAAACCTGACTTAATTTTTGAGCTTCTTACTGGTCGAACGGAACAAACAAACTCAAAGAAAACATTCGTTTTGTATCAAAATGGTAACGATGCCTCAATTTTACTTGGAAAAGCTTTGGACTATGAAGTGACGACTGATTATTCATTAACAGTAATTGTTAAAAATTCTCATAACATTATGAGTGAGCACAATATCAAAATTAAGGTCGAAGATGTAAATGATAATATTCCATCGTTTGTGGAAGTCGATACAGGAACTATTCTTGAGAATGAACCACCTGGCACACAGGTCATGATCGTTCGTGCAATTGATAATGATGCAACATCGCCTTTCAATGCAGTGACTTTTGAACTAGCCGATAATAATGAAATCTTTCAAATTGATCCAATCACGGGTGTTGTTACAGCCAAGCAAAGTCTTGATCGTGAAAGTCAAGAGTTCTATAATGTGAAAATTGCAGCTACTGATGGAGCACCTTCTGCACTTTTTACAACAGGCAAGCCAAACTCAGCTGCACAAGTCTTTCGAATTGAGGTTGCAGATAAAAATGATCACCCGCCTCAATTTAAACAAGATGAATATCTCGCGGATCGTATACCCGAAGATTCAAATAAAAATGCTTTAGTCATCGAAGTAACTGCCATAGATCCCGATACAGCTTCAAATATTGAATACTCAATAGAAAGTGGAAATATTGATGACTCATTTGAGATTGATAAAACAGGACGAATAACAATTAGACATAGTCTTGATTATGAAAAAATTACAGAATACTCATTGAAGATCAAAGCTTTTGACGGAATTTATAGTGATTTTGCAACAGTTAAAATTACTGTGGCAAATGTTAATGATTGCCCACCAGTATTTATTGAAGAAGAATATCGATCGAAAATTGATGAAGAAAAAATTCATCCAGACTGTATTTTCATTATGAATGCATACGATCCGGATATTAAAGATCGTAATTTAGATCAGCACATAAGATACGAAATTTCCAAGAAAGAGCAACGTGACCTCCTTACGATCGATGCATATGGTTGCTTGAGAAATATTAAGCCTCTTGATCGTGACAAGCCAAATGGACATAAAGAATGGCAAATTCTAGTAACAGCTACTGACGAGGATGGTCAAGGATTGTCTCAAACACAGACAGTTATCATTATTCTCAACGACATTAACGACAATGCACCATTTTTAAGTATGAATATGCCAATTGTTTGGCCTGAAAATCATGAACCTGGAATTATTACTTCTCTTTTGGCTGATGATTATGACGAGAAAGAAACAAATGGATATCGTTATGAGTTTGAGCTATGGGAACATGCTAGTAATGATATCAAGAACAAATTTAGCATAGAAAATAGTGATCAGCTAGTGGCTCTTGCATCATTCGATCGCGAAGCACAAAAAGAATATTTTATACCAATTAATATTAGTGATGGAGGTGAACCAAGAATGTCCAATGTCAGCTACTTGCACTTGATTATTGGTGATGTGAATGACAATGAGATGAAGGAAGGTTCAAGCTCAATATTTGTATATAATTATAAAGGAGAAGCACCGGATACAGAAATTGGTCGTGTATATGTCGATGATCCAGATGACTGGGATTTACCTGATAAAAACTTTTTTTGGCAAGATGGTAAAGTTGATGAACACTTTTCACTTGACGAAAATACTGGAATGATAACCATGATTGAAAACACTGGAGAAGGAATTTACAGTTTGGAATTTAGGGTCGTAGAAACTATGCCTTATGGCACTCGTCATGATGTGACAGCATATGTACAAGTAACAGTAAAAGAAATTCCAGAAGAGGCTGTTGACAAGAGCGGATCGATTCGATTTGTTGACATTTCAGCAGAAAAGTTTGTCGACGATGGAAACTCAATTAGTCCCAAAGAAAAATTGCAAGATTTTATTATGGAGCTATTTAATGTTAGCCGAGAAAATGTAGATATATTTACAGTTCTAAAAAATGATCGTGATTCAGCAATATTGGATGTACGATTCTCAGCTCATGGCAGTCCATACTATGAACCGGAAAAGCTGAATGGAAAAATTTTACAACACAAAAATAAATTGGAAGAGAAACTGGGATCTAAAGTCATGATGATAAACATTGATGAATGTCTCATTGAAAAAGCAAAATGTGAATCATCGTGCATGAATGTATTGGAAAAGTCAAACATTCCATTGTCTGTGTACACAAATCGTACCTCATTTGTTGGAGTTAATGCATTTGTACGAACTGAATGCAAATGTTTTGAGCCGAAGCACGGAGAACCGGTCTGCTATAATGGAGGAACTTCATTCGCAAATACATGTGAATGTCCGAAAGGTACGTTTTAATTTCTTCTTATTATTCTCAATTTAAATACATTTAAAACATTTTAAAGCAGTCGACCATGAATCATCTGTTTAACAAGCATCTGATTTTAACATTTTGAATTCATTTTAATATTTTATTAAAGGTTTCGAGGGACCAAACTGTCAGCAAATTACTGTTGGATTTTCTGGAAATAGTTGGGCTCTCTATCCACCAATTGACCCATGCGACTCGACAAAAATATCACTCGAATTGAAACCCGAAAACGAAAATGGATTAGTTTTGTACGTAGGTCCAATGAGTTATATGGATCGACTCCCAATCTCAGACTTTTTAGCATTAGAATTAGTTGATGGATACCCTGTACTTATTGTCGATTACGGTACCGGTGCAGTTAGAATTCATCATAATTATACAAAATTAGAAACCGGACGTTTCCATGTTGTCGACATTCTTTTGACTAAAACAAGTGCCGAAATGACAGTAGATAATTGTAAACTTAGTGACTGTATGAGTTTGCGTGCCCCACAAGGCAAAAATGAATTCCTCAACGTAAATGCTCCAATCCATCTTGGAGGATCGAGTGTTAATCTTGACGTATTACGATCAGCTTATAATTGGACATATGCGCCAACAATGCGAGGCTATATTGGATGCATTAAAAATCTTACAATTAATGATTTTACATATAATCTCGGACAGCCTAGTCTGGCACAAAATGTAGATCCGGGATGTGAAAGATCCCTAGCAGCCGCTGTTACATTTGGTGTAGCTAGTAACTTTATCTATGCACTCATCGGATGCATCCTACTTCTCATCATTTTAATTCTTGCCGTTGTAGTACATAAAAAGTCTTATGATGGCGTAAGTATCTCAAGATTAATTGAATAATGAGAAAATTTCCTGTCTAATGCATTTTTAAAGCAACAATTTTAGTGCTTATTCATGTCATTTTATAGATGCTTTATAAGCTAATTTATTTAATTTGAAACTTTTTATTTGAACAATGAAACTTAAATTCTCAAGTAGAAGAAAAAAAAAATAATTTAAGCAGAAACTTTCGGTCACATAAAATGCATTATTCAATTTGAATTATAAATTTGCGTACTCATTTTCTAATGATTTTTCTTTAAATATAGTGGCATGAAAAAGATATGGATGATATTCGAGAAACAATTATTAATTATGAAGATGAAGGTGGCGGGGAAAGAGATACAGGTAATTGTTGGAACTCATTTCCACTTATCGTACATAACTAATGCATGAATTTTTATTACTATAAATACTCAAGATTATGACTTAAATGTTTTACGTGGACCACCAATTTATGAAGATAAATTGTATAAAGACTTAAGACAGAAAGAAGCGCATGAAGTTCCAGATATTGGAGCATTTTTAATAGATAAGAAAGATGCATGTGACAAAGACAATGATGCATATCCAGTCGATGATGTAAGACATTACGCTTATGAAGGTGACGGAAATAGCTCCGGATCACTTTCAAGTTTAGCTTCATGTACCGATGATGGAGATCTCAAATTTAATTACTTATCAAATTTCGGACCAAGATTCCGTAAGTCTCAATTTCTATGTAAAATGATTCACTGAATCGGAATTAATTTCTTACTTTATTTATTTTAAAATGTGTAGGTAAACTAGCCGATATGTATGGTGAAGAGCCATCCGATACAGACTCAAACGTTGATGCTGATGAAGGATGGAGAATTTGAAGATCGAATTTTTTTAAAATAAGAAAAGAATGTAGGAGAAAATTTCTTTAACTGAAGCTGGTGAGTTCAATTAATTTATCATCAATGAATGATATATGTGGAATGAATGATTAATGATTGATAGTTTGATATATTCAATATGTCATGTGATGTTTCTGTTTTCTTCTTTCAATCCATCCATCCTCTTGTTGATGTTTCTCTAAGCTTCTGAAATTAGATATCTTCTTCCCTAATCAATGGGTGTCTGAAATTCAAACTAGAATTCCAAACATAATGAGAAACATTAACCAAACTTGCGTAGATTCAGTGAAGCGATTAATCAATTGAACATAAAAATGCATATCAACAAGTGTTCCATCTCATTTCTCACTTCAATTACTCATTTTCGTCTTCTTATTTATCCTTTCAATATTCACATGTTGCATGAGAAAATACTCGTCAATATGCATTTGTTGCTCTTCTCTTTATTACTCTTCTTATTCTTTTTTCTTTAACATCATAAAACAAAAGAGTGAGGAGAAGATGATGAAAAATTTCGGGTCTTTTATGCTTTGCCTGTCGCTAGTTACATAAACTAAATGGAACGAATAATTAAAACAATGTTTTCAAGATGATGAAAAAGAAAAGACATCTCATAAATGTGTCACTCTTTTTTTTGTATCTCAATTTTCAAGCCTCAAGTATTTTTTCGGTGACTCACTTGAGTTTTCTTTGAAATGTTTAGACTTTGTCGGTGACATTTCAACAAAGTACATCTATTTGAATCATAATAAGAAAATTGTTAGTATAATGATGCTGATTTTGATTGCAAGCAGACTCTATTAAATTGTAAGAATGGATTTGAGAAAGTTTTTGATGTCATAAAAAGTTCCAAGCATGACGAATACATAAATTTTGTTTTTTTTTGAAACCCTTAGTGTCATGATACTTGAAAAAGAACTATCGTTAAGAGGGTTCCAACACATAAGCAAATACATTTTTTTTATGAAATCTGAAACTGATTGGACGGTTTTTGGTTTCATGAAATAATTCAAGTCTCATGCTAGTACAACAATATAAATATTAATGGGTAAGAGTAATCATTGAAGGGTACAAAAGGGATTATATAGCATTTTTTAATGCTTACCAGCATACATACTGTGAAAACCCATAAATGATGATTGTATTGCTTGCCGTTTGCATCTGTAAATCATTTCGGTCTGACACAACAATTTTTTATTTATTTCTTCTCGCTCTTTTCCAACACTAACCTACTCATTGCTAGTTCATTAATAGATTTGGGAATTATTATAGAGATTTGATGAGTGTAAACAAACAAGTAATGATTTCTCATTCTACAATTACGACTGTTGGCTGTGTCTGCTCTTTTTTCCCACAATAAAAAAACATTCATAGTGCCGCTGCAATGGATGTGTAATTAAGAAAGAAAATCGCACGTGCTGAAATATTTATAATTAAATTACTATTTAAAAAGAGAGAATTATGATGATTTAAATTTGAAGTTACTGGTCTATTAAACGCTTTCTGTGTGATATATTCGACCATGCTCTACACATTATTAACGATGATTACACATTAGTTTAAATTGAATATTCTTTTCGCACAATTCATAAATTTTCATAATTTTTTATACGCTTCACCATTTGCTCATATATTCATCTTTTGACTGTACAAATTGATGGTAATTTATGTCTGTGTGACGCCATAAAAACTTATTTATGTTAAATGCTGAATGGCATGCTATTGTTTTGTTTTTATGTATTGCAATTTTTAACACAACTCTTTTACATCAATTGCAAAGTATTTTTTACATGTTCACTAAAATGCATTCTTGTTGCTGACAATGCGGCTCTATCCATCAGATGATGTTACTTTATTGGTTGTAGTAAGATTTTGCAACTATCGTGCTAGATTGCTGTATTAATTTTCTCGCACGAATAATTTATCATGTTGATGGGTCATGGTGACATTCAGACATTCAGCGCGCGCTTTTTAAAATTGTAAATTACAGCATTGAAAATTAAGTTAGATGGGATTTTGCTTTGGATGCTTGATAACGCATTCCATGTTCTTTAAGCATGCATTCAAGTCATAAATTCTTGTTGTTTTGTAAACAGTTTCTCTTTGACTTGATGCCACACACTTGCCGAAAATTTCTAGTTATTATGGCAGACAAAAAATATTAAGAACCGACTGCTCGTTTTTGAACAAATGTGTGCATGGAAGAGTTGTAGGCATTCTCAATTAAAATTAAAGTTCTTTTATTAGATCAAAAAACTGTATATTTTTTATTCGGTGCAGTACAGAATTAAGAGATAAATGTTTTATGCTTGTTAATATTTTTTGAAGAGAAAATTCCTTAATGGATCAAATAAAAATTTTGGTGCTGTTGCTTATTTTCTTCTGTTTTCATTAGGGAATGTGCACGCGAGATAAAAATCTGTTTCAAATTTATATTATTATGAATACTGATGCTACTGCTTGTTGCTTGTTTGAGCACATAAATATAAGCAAGTATATTTTTTTAATTTTTCAAGAAAAAAAAAAAACAGCATCTGAGGGGAAGTGAAATTAATGAATTTATAGTATGCCATAAAAAGTATTTCTCTTCATTTTAAGTATGCAATCTCGAAATAAATGAGATCTCCCTTTCGTCGTTTAATTTTTTTGAGGAATAAATGAGAAAATTGATGATGCGATGCACTTCAAAAGACACAGAGAGAAGAATAATAATTTATTTAATCAGAAGTTTAAGTTAGAAAATGCACATCATACATCAGACGTATTGAAGCGTGACGAAGTTCATGAAAAATGATACAATTTCTTATGACTTGACATTCGTCATTTCTTCGACATATTAGAATGAATAATAATAATTTCTACAACCTCATTTTTTGTGGCTTCTCATACATGACAGTGCAGCTATAAAATCTAATTTAACGACTCTTGATGATCCCTTATGAGCAGCTTATCATTATATATTTTTAATATTCAGCTATAACAACATCTATAAAATAAAAACATTATTGCTTATCACAAAAATTAGACAATTGAAAAATTGCCGTCTATTAATCATCTTGAAGTTTCCCAATAGAGCATTTTATGACTAAAAACCCTTCATTCTGTCTAAATAAATAAAATTAGAATATCAAACTTTCGCTGGCCCATAAAATTCATTTCCACAAGCATTCAATAAAAAAGATGTTTTAGCTCTTAGAGAATTATTACTATGAACCGCTGACTGACAAAATGAATGATTAAAAAGTTACAATAATAGACTAGTTTTTTTTTGGAACATTGGAACTACATTTTTTATTAACCATCAAGCATAATATTTTTACTCTGTTCGCTTCTGCCGTTGAATTTGTAAAGAACCTGTATATACCTTTTAAGTACGATTTTATTTTGTTTTGTTCTTCTGTTTCTGTGTTTTTAGAGCGTCATGTGCATGATGGTGACGTCAAATGATGATCGAAATGCATGTGCATGTTCATAAAAACGATGAAACAACAAAATTCAAGAAGCTCTTTAAGTATTTGTGTTTTAGAAATAGAGATTGATTGAATTTCCTTTTCTTTATACATTTGCGGAAACAAATACAGAATAGATAGCAAAAGTTGACAGCAGATGATGGATGAATTGTTGGAAAGAACATTAAATTAGTAGAAGGGAGAGAATTAATTTTTTTTGCTTCATAATTTTATTGAAAGCATTTAAAATTCCCACGCAGTGACTTGACTTCTTTCAATTTACTTTTTCTTTTTCATCTTTAAGAATTTTAATTATGTAATTGTTTGCTAAATACTAGTCAGCAGGTATTTATAAGATTTTTTCATCAAACCTTACTCCATGACGGTGAATATTGCAGTGGCATTTAACCATGTTGTGTTCCAGTGATTTGTAGAAGAAATTCTGTAATTGATACAGTCACTTCTCGGTGCCTTCTTCAAAATTGAATTTCTTAAAGGTGATACATTTTAAGCGTGGGAATTTCCTCAAATTCTTAATTTATAAAAATATTTTTTTTTAAAGTTTGCATCAGTTTGCATCAATAGGGGACTCAGAATAGCCGAACAGAAACTTAATAAATTTATAAATATTTACATTTACTCAAATAACATAAAATGAAACAAAATTTCTCCAGTTAAAGTAAATGAAATCCAAAATTGAGACCAAAGAAGGTGCGGTTGTTGTTTATAGGTTGTGATAATGTTGATTGCCTAAAGCTAATACAATTTATGCACATAAACTGGAAAATGATGATCATTATGAGAATTAACAAATGTTATGGGTATTTAATTACTGCACAGAGACTTTGAAAAATTTGCATTCAAGCTTCAAGTCATTAAACTTAAATGTTTTGACTAATGACTCTCAAAATTTGACATTGATTTCACTTAATGCGCTCTACATCCAATCTTGAAAGGTAAAAAAAATCTAAAATTCAATTTAAAATTTACTTTTGTTCACAAGCAGCATTAGCAACAGCAGCTCAAATGTTGCCATTTTGTGTAGAAATGAGAAAAAAAATCAATTGTTGCGAAAATGAAATAATAGAAACGCTTGATTTGTTGCTGTAATGGTCACAATAATAACTATGTATGTAGATCGAATTCCGAGCGTTGATCAAGCAAGTTTTTTGGCGTCCATAATAAATGATACTCTTTCTTTTCATTGTTCAATAAGCCACATGCATAATAATAGTTAATAATTTTTTTCTGTCTGTCCTTCCTTTTCTTATTCCAGCCACTTCATAATTTTATTTTTTCGCTACATTAAAAAATACCCATAATTCAAAAAAACTGTTTGATGATCGTTTGTTGCTTGCTTGTGAGTCATACATCGACATATTAAAAATTAAAAGTATGAGTGGAGCGTAAGCGAGAAAGAATTAGAAATCGTGATCGAATCATTGAAACATTTATTCACAAAAAAATGAAAAAAAAAATGAAATAAAATTGTTAAAAGAAGTAGAAGATTATCACAAAAGGAATAAAAAGAAGTGAGAAAAATAAGGTAGAAGCATTGTTGCCACATTTCATCGGAGCATAACAACAATGAGAATGGGAATTAATGCTTTGTTCGTTAAATTATAAGTTTCTTGTATTATTTTTTGTGTGGTGGAAAAAGCATCATCTTAATGATCCAATTTAGAAGATTAAGTAAAAATCCACAGAAGAGAAATGATAATTGTGCATTCGATTGCGATAAATGCATTTATCCAAAAGCATTTTCCATAAAATATAAAATATACCGTTTTATTGCGCTGTGCTGGTTAAAGAATCATGAAATATGTAGATGGTTTTCTGATGATTAGAGTGAAAAACGACACAACAAAACCCGAAACCTTATCAGCGAAGAAGAAGAAAAAACCATTGAATGAAGCTTGAAGCTTTCCACGGAATAAATAACCGCGCGATTCAACTCTATTTTCTTATCAACAGCACATTTTATTTTATGTGTATATGATTCCTCTATATTATCATACATAACATTCTCATTCATTGTGGTAGAATGACGAGTACTTTGTGTATCGAAAGAACGTCAAAAGAGGACATAAGAAAAATAACAAACAGCTTGTATAAAATTACTCGTAACCACGTTTTTATGTTGATGTTTGAGTTTTTTTTCTCCTATTCTTTCTCTCTTACCTGCTCAGGTTGTATTAGTTCTTTCACTCGATTTTGAATTGGATCTACGAAATGGAAGAATTTATGTTCCTCAAAAATGTGCTTGATGTTGAATAATGGGGGTCTAAAACTTTTCACCTTACGAAATAAATTTTTTTAAATTCTTTTATCTTGCATCGCATCATTTTTCTGTTTTGTGCATGCTGCTTATTTGTATGCTAATTCCTGGTATTAAAAAGAGAAAAGACATTTCCACTAGAGTGCTGAATTTAAATGAAATTTTAAAATACACTATAAGCATGCATATTTAACATCACTTGAAATGATAAAACCTTAAATTTTTCTCAGGCATTTTTTAAAACGTTAACTAGGCGTTATCATAAATTATGGTCATAAAGGCATAGAATGAATTTGTACCAGATATAAGATATTAAACTTTCAATTTGATTTATCGATAATAGTTGCTATCCCTTAACATTTTTATTCCTTCTTGTTACACATCTCTACTTTTATTTAATTCACTTCTCTTAAAAATTTAAAAATACGAGAAGAAGTAAGAAAGCGAAGGTAGAAGAAGGAATCAGAAGAGAAAGATTGTGGAAGGTAAGAAATTAAAACTCGGCCATTTTTTTTACTTTTGGCTGTTGATGTAATGTGTATTTGGGAATCTACACATAAAATTATGATGATCGTTTTTCCGGAAGCAGCAGCAGTAAGCACGAAAGTGTAGAGAAATTTTCGGGGTCATTTAAATTTATTTTCTTTCCATTTCTTTTGTTATCATTCTCGTCTCTTGATATATATTATTTAATTCGATGTGATTTTTGGAACAAGAAGAATTATTCTGTTGAGCATCTCAATACATTCAAAGATTGTGGCTTTTTTTCATTCTTTATGTATCTGCTTACCTTTCTTAATGTCTGTGTGAATGACCGTTTGAAGTCGTTAGTAATAATTTTTTTCTTGATTCTTATTTTCTCATAATTCTTTTTTTTCTTTCTCTCTTTACAGTGAATTTAATTTTTTTGTTATAAGACATGTCTGGATGGAGTGTTGTATAGAGGTTTAATGTTTCACGACTATTTTCTACTATAATAACAAGTCAATAAAATTGAAGATCGTCGATCCTCGCATCCAATATATATTATTATTGTTAATAATATTCATCATCTACGCATTTAATTGAAGCATTGAACCTCATCTTCTGTGCGTCTTAAGTCGTTGATCATCAAGAATGATGCATAAAAGTGTGAGATTGAACATTAATGTAAAATAATTCCAATAATCATCGTGAAAGTTAAATAAAAAATTCAAAAGTGTGGATGTTGGAGTCATTGATGACGTCACTAGATATGTAAGATAATTCAATCATCTATTTTCTACTGGAATTTATAGCTAGTATATTGAAGAAAAAAATAACATTTGATAATCAAATGGAATTTTAAAAGAGTCCATAAAATATTTTCTAAACGAGTTCATTCTCTGACATCTCTTAAACTATTATAGAAATATCTAAAAAGTTAATTTCATGGAAAAATATTTGTGATTTTATGTTTAGCTTATGATTAGATTAAAAATTATAAATATTCATATAGTTTAAAATATGAGGAAATTTTTAAATGTATTAAAAAAATGTACTGATAATATTTAGAAAATACTGGCAGTAAGCAAAAACCTATCAATTTAGCTGCATTTTTACAAAAAAAAAATTACAAATATGACAAAATTCCGGCCAATCAATATTAATTAAGCCAACATACTGTGTAACTATTAGGAAAAAAATACAAAAAAATTAACATTAAAAGTGCATTTAATAGCAAAGGAAACGTGGAAAATGTCTTAGAAACTGCCTTCAAAGAATTCTACATAACAAAAATTATGTATTAGATTTTATTAATATAAAATTCACATATTTACATCGATCCATGTACAATATTTTTTATTAAACAACTTTTGTATAAGAATTCATAGAGAAATGTGATCAAAATGCAAATATTTCTTCTCATGAGAACTCATACTAGTTTAAAATACTGTATGTTCTGAGTACGTTGTCATTTGTGCTTCATAGTCAAGACATTGATCTTTGTAATATCACCTCAATGTGTTCGATATGTCTCATTACTCACGACGTCAAAGTTTTTCTTTGATTCATAAGTTGTTAGAAAATATCTAGTCAGTAGTTTTTTAGTGGCTAGAAGCTTACGAACCATTTAAACATCAAAGCATAACCTTGTGTACCTGGGTGTGATTCACAATTTACGTACGAAATAAAAACCAGAAAAATAGCTTTCAAAACATGCAAGCAACAATGAGCTGCACATTTTTTTTTTGCTATAAAGTAAAAAAATCCAGCCATGATTCTCGTGTGAAGAAATATGTGCACAGAGAAATAAAAAAAATATGAAATCACTAAATTTAATAAATAAATTGACCACACCAAGCAAATTTGCTATTTTCGAAGTTGTAAAATAACAAAAATTTGCAATTCAAATGGTGTAGCCAGAAAGAGAAACAAAGTGCTTTATACAAGCAAGCATAAGAAGAAATAATCCATCATACGAAATGACCAAGTCAAATTTAATTAGTGAGAAGAAAACATGAGTTTTAGAAATTTCCATTTTTTCTAGTTAAACAGCTTGTAAAGCTCTACAAAAAAAAAAACTTCGTAACTTCACAGTTGGTAATTTCAATGTTGACTCTTGGTTTATTTTATATTTTTTGGTATAAAAAATCTCAAATTTCTCTATGCACTTAATCCATTAGCTAAACCAATACTTTTGACCTTAATCATTTTTGTAATCAAATTATTCAAACCATAAAGACTTTAAAAAGCTAAATGTATTGAAAAAAAAGTGAAATGAATCCAAAATTTAAAATAATTAAAACTCGGTTAATTTATAAGTTGAAACAAGTGCCTCCAAAATTTATAGTTTTGTAAGAAAATTTGCAAAATCTAGAATAATTTTTTAAATAAGTTTCTTTGTATGAAATGAAATTGAAAAGGAAAGTCGTAAATTAATTAACAAATAATTTTTTAATCTTATTATTTCTCTTCTTTTACGTAAGAAGAAACAAACAAAAAACAACAATCATATCAGTTAGACATTGCCTTCTATTCTAGGCAATCTTTTAAGTTTCTCTTTATTCTTGTGTAAGCAAAAAAATCATTTCTGTTTATAATAGACAGATAAATAGAACGCCAGATTCATTTGCTTATGATTTCATCATTTAAAAATGAAGGAATTGTGTGGCAAAAATAGAAAAATTTTATTTTTCATCATTTTTCCAAATTAGTTCTTCCACTTCAAATTAATATTCGAATGCATTGCCACTAATTTAGGAGAAAGAAAAAAAATTAATTTATGTTTTTTTTTCAAAAGACTTCAAAAGTGTATCGAAAAACAAAAAAAAAACAATTTTCAACAAAAGGAAGTGAAACTAGCAACAACCATTCCATTTAAACAATTTTTAAAATTATCACATTCTTATTTAAAATTTATTCCCAGAAAACATTGAGAAATGGTTTAATTTATTGAAATTTTATGTATGGGGAGCATAGGAAGAGTTTAATGAATCTTTCGATTTTGAAATGATTAAGCTATTTATGTGCAACTTTTAAACTAGCTCCAATAATGATCATGATGATGAGAAAATGAATTTTAAATGCTTTTGCTAATCTTTTCGTAATAAACAGAACTTTTAAATACTCTAATCAGCTCTCGTAATGAACAAAAAAATTTAACTTTGAAATTATTAAGTTTCTCACGTATTTGCATAATTGAGCTGCTTGAAATTACTATAACATGACTCCACATCCCTTTATGTATAGCAATGTGATGAGCTGAATCAAATTTCAATAAAAATTGAATTTACATTTTACCACTCCTTGGATTTTGAGCCAAAAAAGTTACTTCTTATGATTTTTCTAAGCCTCACAACAATTTTTTTAACAGAATTTTGTTGCCGTTATTAAAGAGAGGAATAATAAATAAAATAAATAAACTTATTGCCAACGCCTTTACATGCTAAACATGTATGAAGTGTGAGAGAAAGAGAAGGAAAAATAGTCACAAAAGCAATTCACGTCATTCCGATAGAGTCAAAAGCGATAATTTTTCCAAGCAGCATTCAAGCATCGATTTCTCAAGGCAATAACTTATTGTGTGTGAAGAGATGAAAATTGAATTTAAAAACCTTTTTTTTTCCTCTTACAATTACAGCCAAATTGACCTTTTCTTGATACTCTGCGCTCTCTTGATCGTTCGCTCACTTAATCGATTGAATTCATATATGCATGCTTGTGTTCATAAGCCATCGTAAATTGAATTCGTTATTCTTAGTAAACTGATGCACATATGCAACTTTTGTGCCTCAATTTCCTCTCATTTAATATCTTTTTAAAGAGTTCAATGAATATGCAAAAGAGGAACATCGATTAGATTATTTATGCATCTCCTCAAAAATAATTTCTTTTTTTTGCTCTCGGCTATGAAAGACTTAGTTTTTAAAATGTTTTATTGCTGAACATTCTTAAAGCAATTTGGCTGTCTTTAAATGAACTTTTAGTGCAAATACTCAATTTTAATCATCTCTATAAAATTTCAATCAGTATTTTGTCACTACAAGACTGAACTAGATACATAAAAAAATACTGAAAGAGCGCTTTCATAATAAATCATTGAATATCATCCAAACTTGATTTCGTCAATCTTCCATAGTCCCTCAATCATCATGAGTCGAGAATTTCAATCAAATCAAATCATTTCTTGATTGAATTCAATTACTTTTTTCAATTGTATAACTGTTATTTTTATTGTAAGTAATTAATTAAAGAAATTTTTAATGATGAAGAAAAAATATTTTTAAGATAAACGAAAGGAAAAAAAATTTGAAATTTATAAAAAAAGAAAAAATGAAAAAGTAAAAAGAAGAAAATAAACAAAAAAAAAATTTAAAAGAATTAACAAACTTAGTATTTCAATACAATTCATTCGTTCCTATTTATTTTCAGCAGCGTGTTGGCATTTTAGCAGTAAATTCTTAATTTTTATGACCGCCATCATCATACATAGCCAAACATCTTAGTGTTGCGATTTTAAAAGCCACTTATAACGATGTCTGCTCATTTTTCTATTACTAATGCAAAAAATGCCACTAATTGTGCTAATTCAGCTTAAGTTTACAATGACTATAAAAAGTAGGCAGTGAAGGAAAAATTGTTGATGAATCAGCGACTCATTTTGAAGTTATTCGTGGAAACTTAATTTTCTACAATTCGATGAATCACTTTTTTTTATTTCGTTATGTCTTGCAACTTAATCACTTGAAAGGTTTTATCGATGAAGTATATCCAGAAAAATAAATTTCTTTCCCTTCACGATAAAAAATAACTATCATTGCTCAACATTGCTTTTTTTTCGGTCGCTTGTTCCCATAAATTAAATTAAAATTTATTGATTGACAATCGTGGAGAATTGATATGAATGAAATGAAAACATTTTGGGAGTGAAATATGCGATTCGATGATTCTCTATCTAAACATGCTCCTTTTTCCATTTCCACATAAATGTACGAGTGTTACAGATCGATGACAATGCAACCCTAAATATTATTTTTAGCATTTTTTTGCGTCCTCTTCTTCATTTCCGCAATAATTCTTTCTCTATATGACCCTGTCAATTTTTATAACAATTTACAGTTCCAATGTATGGATAGAGAAATTTTTTTTTTCTGCATCAGTTAATTTCTCTTCTCAGGTTTGCAACTACAACTCTTGTGAGGTAGCAACCCATGAGAACGAATGTTTACACAGTAAAAAAGAGCAATGAGAACAAACACATTTGTTTTTATTTACGTCCCTTGTTTTGTGACTATATGCAGCTCTGAAATAGACTAGCCGGAAGTGTATTTAAATTTATAGTTCAAGTTTAAATGCATTCTGTTTCAAAAGTTAAGCGAATAATTATTTTTGTTAAAGTTGCAGCGAGGCGCACAAAAGCGAATGAGTGTGGGCAATAAAACGATTGCTGGTATTTCCGAAATTCATAACAGGAAAACGAAGAACCATGATCTCGTTCAAATGTGAGAAATGTTGGAAATGATGAAAAATAAAAGGTCTAAAGGTTTGCTTCAGAAAAAAAAGCAATCCTTACTTCTTGTCGCTTAGAAAATATTTCTTGGCATTTTCACGATAAGCTTCTGTATATTCTATACGGCACCAATTAGGTTGTTTGTCATCAGTATCCATACATTTCTCACCATAAGCATGTCCATAACTAATTTCTTTGTATTGTCTAAGATTTTTCCTCATTTTCATGCCATCCGTTCGAGAACTAGCTTTGAATTTTACTGCTGTTTTATCATCGTTTGAAGAACTTTTAGATATTAATTTCGGAATCTACTTCGGAATCCAAACACTCGTAAACTCTACTTTTTGATGAGATAAGTTAAGATCCATGCACAAAACTTTTTGTAGAATAAAGTCCACCATTATCTTTGGATGCACGTTGATCATAATTGAGTCTTGACCTATAAATACTGTTACTGGTAGAACGATTTAAATTGTCCTTTTTTGAGGAACTTCAATAGAAAAGCCGTAATCATTTTTCAAAACAACTCCTTTTGTCTTTTGTGAAACTTCCTCTGGCTTCATATCTGGAGTTTGATGATTTCAAATTTTATCAACTGGGCATGCATAATCTTTGTGTTCATTGTTGTAAATCTCACAATTCTCCCAATACGTTCGAACCTTCTTGACCATTTTTTGACTGAAATAATCATCAGAGAGAGTCCAAAACTTTTCTGGATGGATTGAAAAAGTTTCGAGTTCCCTAAAATAGAAATCCATTTTCATCACAGTTGGATAAGCAGTGTCTTATTTTATCGGCAGCTCTCAAGCTATTCATGATATCAGTGTCATTTTTGCTGCATGCTTTCTTCTCGAAGCAAACTTTTATGGAGTTTATGATGAATGTAGTAAGAACAAGCAGCTTTTCTGGACAATTATTAAAGATGAACTATTGGAGATTTTCTGCGTAAGACTGCACACTTTTCAGTATAAGTTTGAAAAGAGAATGGATTTTTGTTATGATATCGATTTGCTTTTTAGTCATCGCGCGAATATTTTCAGCTTGTAAATATTAGAGAATACCACGCAAACAAGTGAGAAGAATCAAACAAAAATTACTCACCAATGATCCAATTTGAAATAGATTGTTCCTTACAAAGAGATTACTAAATTCAATTGAACGACGAGTACGATCGTATAAAGATGGAATGACAGCGTTTTCATAGGGCTCAGTAATTATTTCATATATACAGGTAAGCCACCTTCTTATTAGATTATTTAAATTCGGTAATTCATAATAACAATCAGAAAACGATGAGACTTTAGGAATTGCTTGCTTGTCTGGACATTCTTCTTCATGTTCTTTATTATTAGTTTGGGGCAATTCACGTTGTCTAAAAAAATCTTCACGAATTTCTTGAATGCTTCTTCCGTTTTCAAATCCGTATCTGTTTGAAGGACGTTCTAGCTTTGATTGTAGACAATCATCATTCGATACTTGATGTCGATGCTTTACAGCGTTTGATTCACGAAAACTTTTTTATTGCCGACATTTTCTAATATTGGTGTGTCACGTTCGAATGGAGTTTCAGGTTTCATGTCACAAAACTCTGTCCTTAAATCACTTCACTTCACTTCACTTCACTTTACTTCACTCTACTTCACTTTACTTCACTTCACTTCACTTTACTTCAATTCACTTCACTTCACTTCACTTCACTCCACTTCACTACACTTCACTTCAAATTAAGATTGTCAAATGAAGCGAACTGATTGTCATCGATTTCAAGCAGTTTTGCAGCATGAGATGAAAAATTAATCACTCCACTTCACCACACTTCACTTTACTTTACCTTACTTTACTTTACTTTACTTTACTTCACTTTACTTCAATTTACTTCACTTTACTTCACTTCACTTCACTTTACTTCAATTCACTTCACTTCACTTCACTTCACTCCACTTCACTACACTTCACTTCAAATTAAGATTTTCAAATGAAGCGAACTGATTGTCATCGATTTCAAGCAGTTTTGCAGCATGAGATGAAAAATTAATCACTCCACTTCACTTTACTTTACTTTACTTTACTTTACTTTACTTTACTTTACTTGACTTTACTTTACTTTACTTTACTTTACTTTACTTTACTTCACTTTACTTCACTTTACTTCAATTCACTTCACTTCACTTCACTTCACTCCACTTCACTTCACTTTTCTTCAAATTAAGATTTTCAAATGAAGCGAACTGATTGTCATCGATTTCAAGCAGTTTTGCAGCATGAGATGAAAAATTAATCAATTCACTTCACTCAACTTCACTACACTTCACTTCACTTCACTTCACTTCACTTCACTTTACTTCAATTCATTTCACTACACTTCACTTCACTTTACTTTATTTCACTTCACTTCACTTCACTTTACTTCACTTCACTTCACTTCACTTCACTTCACTTTACTTCAATTCATTTCACTACACTTCACTTCACTTTACTTTACTTTACTTTACTTCACTTCACTTTACTTTACTTCAGTTCACTTCACTTCACTTCACTTCACTTCACTTCACTTCAAATTAAGATTTTCGAATGAAGCTAACTGATTGTCATCGATTTCAAGCAGTTTTGCAGCATGAGATGAAAAATTAATCACTTCACTTCACTCAACTTCACTACACTTCACTTCACTTCACTTCACTTCACTTCACTTTACTTTACTTCAATTCATTTCACTACACTTCACTTTACTTTATTTCACTTCACTTCACTTCACTTTACTTCACTTCACTTCACTTCACTTCACTTCACTTTACTTCACTTCACTTCACTTCACTTCACTTCACTTCACTTTACTTTACTTTCCTTTACTTTACTTTACTTCACTTCACTTTACTTTACTTCAGTTCACTTCACTTCACTTCAAATTAAGATTTTCGAATGAAGCTAACTGATTGTCATCGATTTCAAGCAGTTTTGCAGCATGAGATGAAAAATTAATCACTTCACTTCACTCAACTTCACTACACTTCACTTCACTTCACTTCACTTCACTTCACTTTACTTCAATTCATTTCACTACACTTCACTTCACTTTACTTTATTTCACTTCACTTCACTTCACTTTACTTCACTTCACTTCACTTCACTTCACTTCACTCAACTTCACTACACTTCACTTCACTTCACTTCACTTCACTTTACTTTACTTTACTTTACTTCACTTCACTTTACTTTACTTCAGTTCACTTCACTTCACTTCACTTCACTTCAAATTAAGATTTTCGAATGAAGCGAACTGATTGTCATCGATTTCAAGCAGTTTTGCAGCATGAGATGAAAAATTAATCACTTCACTTCACTCAACTTCACTACACTTCACTTCACTTCACTTCACTTCACTTCACTTTACTTCAATTCATTTCACTACACTTCACTTCACTTTACTTTATTTCACTTCACTTCACTTCACTTTACTTCACTTCACTTCACTTCACTTCACTTCACTTTACTTCACTTCACTTCACTTCACTTCACTTCACTTCACTTTACTTTACTTTACTTTACTTTACTTTACTTCACTTCACTTTACTTTACTTCAGTTCACTTCACTTCACTTCACTTCACTTCAAATTAAGATTTTCGAATGAAGCTAACTGATTGTCATCGATTTCAAGCAGTTTTGCAGCATGAGATGAAAAATTAATCACTTCACTTCACTCCACTTCACTACACTTCACTTTACTTTACTTTACTTTACTTTACTTTACTTTACTTTACTTTACTTTACTTTACTTTACTTTACTTTACTTTACTTTACTTTACTTTACTTTACTTTACTTTACTTTACTTTACTTTACTTTACTTTACTTTACTTTACTTTACTTTACTTTACTTTACTTTACTTTACTTTACTTTACTTTACTTCACTACACTTCACTTCACTTCACTTCACTTCACTTCACTTCACTTCACCTTATTAAAGTCACTATTAGTCATTGATGAGACAATTGGCTGAATTTGAGCCGAATTCTGATTTAAAGTTCGATCATTTGCAAAGGCTTGTTCTAGTAAGGATGAAAAGAAAAGAGACAATTGATCAATGATGTAACCCATGAAAGTCTAATGAACAACTACAGCAAATACATTCAAAGGTACTGAATTTTTTCTAAAATTTTTTTTAAAAACATACCGAGATTTGAAGAAAAAACATGAGTGGAAGAAACATCAGGAACTGCAGACGGAGCATGATTAGAAAACCGTCCATTACCGTGCATATGATTATTATTCTTTTTCACTTCCAATGCTGATTCGAATAATGCGATTGCTTCTATAATTCGCAAATTACGTTTGTTATCAACACGGATGTTCTTTTCTTGAGATTCGTCGACGATGCGAGCCTTAGTTTTATCCAAATACTCAAATCCTGATGAAACTTTTTCACTTTTCTTTTGTAGTTTAAAGAAATATTTCGGATTTTCAAATGAAGCGAACTGATAATCATCGATTTCTAGCAGTTTTGCAGCATGAGATGAAAAATTAGTCATCTTCAACTTTTCAGATTACAATGAGACTTTTTGAATTTTCTCCTTTGGTTTCCAAGTGAAATCATGGTTGGCTTATCAAATACAAAAAAGCGATGATTTTCTTAAAAATACCTTTCTTCACTTGATTGTACTGAAAATGGAAATAATAAAAAAGTAAATGAAAACCGAACTTTTATTCATTATGTTCACTTCCTAAAATTGTATGTCTCAAGAATTATTGTACCTTTAAAAATGTCCTCTTGTGTTTAGACAATTTAGATCCACAATAATGACGTTAATGCTTTATTTTATAAATAAAATAGTATTTGTAGTTGATTCACAAACTGAAAATGGAAACAGAATAATGAAAGCTGTTGAGAATCGAACCTATTTATTATTTGAAAAGAAGAAGAAACTTTGAAAAATTCTCACATCACAAAATCATTTTCAAGAATTTTTAATAATATGTAAAACTCACACTAATTAACTTCCAAGCCTTTAAAGAGACACAATAGTTTATCCACAAATATGTAATTAATCCTTCCTTTTTTGATAAGTTGGAAATTCACTGTTAACAGTTAAATCTTTTCAAAATTGTAGAAAATTTTTCACAAATGTTGACTGCGATTCTTTTCTTTCTGTCTTGTTAAAATTTTATGTGCCCAATTTTAAGCACTGGAACTTGTGATGACGATTCGAGATATTAGTGTAAGTTTGAGTAGCAATGATAATTCAATTCTCAATTGTTCGATGTCTTTTGTTATCTCAATTCAAATTCTGAAACAAAATCGAGAACTAAAGCAAGTAAATAAGTGTGTAAGAAAAGAAAAGAAAAATGTCATGAAAATATGAAAAGATAGATATGAAGAATAATATAATCAAGAAATAAGCGGGTGTGTAGCTCACTTACTATCTCACTTAATTTCAATGTCTACAGACAACTACATATATCTATATCATTACGTGTCTGAATGTTTACGAATTATACAGGAAAGCAGAAGCACGAAAAGAACGTTGAAAGCATAAAATGAGTTTCATTGTTACACAATATATGTGTAGCATAGAATTTATTAACTCCCTACTTGGTGACTTTTTATAGTACAAAAAAATATTTCAAGCACTCTTTTTTTCAATTCTCTTCTTACATCTTTTTAAGTAAATGTGAGGCCTTTTGTGATTTTAAATAAGAAGAACAAAGAATATATGTAAGAAGACCCCTACAAACTTTGAGCTCATATACCTTACAATTTAAAATTAAGAGTTTATTACTAAACAGTTGGAGTGTATTGTCTTTCTGGTTCTCCTTTATTTCATCTAATGCAGTTAACAGAGTTGTAAGCAGGCAGAATATAAAGTAATGTCTTGTCCTAAAGTATCACATAAGAACTTTAATAAACATCAACACTGGATGTATAGGAAAAATAAATGAAGATATAAAACTCGTAAAACTAACATTTCATCTCTCTCTTTTGCTGCCATATCACGATAAAGCTTCTTCATTATAGAAATTTCACAAGAGTATAAGAAAAGACAATAAGAATTCAATAGAATAGACAGAAGAGAAAGAGAAAAACCGCAAAATGTATGATATTTTATTGATTTCATGTGTTGATCATCCTTATTGTGTGGTTTCGTTGCCTATTCATGCGATCGCTTGAAATATAGTAAAAAAATTATGTCGAGAAAAATGGAATTTCTTACTCAAACAATAAATATCAAATTTTATATACTTAAGATGTCTATATTTTTCTTTATTACATTAATTAGCTTTTAATGGACTTTACAGTGTCATCAAAACATTAGAAAAGCATTACAAAATGATTATGAGTTGAAACTTTTGTTCCCAAAATATATAAGTGACAATCAGGAAATTGAAGATTTAGTTTGCATAAAAGATTACAACAAAGTAGCATGATGAACGTGGGTTGGTCTAATTTATTCAACTTGCTTGATTCCACTGATGATGTGTCACTTTTATGACACAAACGCTGCAAAAAAATAATAATGCCACATAATAAAAGTAAGTAGTGAAATGAAAAAACGAGGTCACTTTTTCGCATGACATTTCGATTGACGAGCATAAATTCTGTCTTGTGTTCCGTGATAATCAGGAATTGACCTTTTTACGGTCATTTAAACAAAAACTTCATTTTAAAATAACTTTGTAGACCTAAGAATGTAGTTCGCTTTAAAACTCTTGTAATAGTCTATACATTCTCATGTTTATGCGCTTTTTCTGCTTTTTAAATTCTATTCCAGCCATTTAACTCAAATCATCATCAACAGCATTTCCACAGTAAGTGACCAAATGTACATAAGTATGTGTAACAATGTTTTAGTCAAAATAACATCAAAGACAATTGAATTACATTTTTTTTTCGGTGAAAAAATTTACGTTCGTTTCCGGTTTGTGATCGCATGTCAAAGAAGAATTGGAGAATGTCTAAAAAGTTGGAATTAAAGAAAAAGTCTCGTTGGACATTGAAAATTTTAAAAGGCTATTTATATCTTCTAAGTGCATTATAATTTCAATGAAAAAAATTTTGGATAACGGAAATTTTCAAAGTTTAGTTGAATTATTCGAAAGGTATTAAATCTAGTCATTTCCGTTTGTTCGCGAAATGAACTCCTTCTTTTAATTGGAATTGATTGTCTGCCTAGCCTTGAATGGCAGCAAAGTTATCATTTGTTATCAAATGTGTTTGATTGAAAAAGGATGAGGATTATTATTATTTATTTGTCGACGTTACCGTCCGGAAGAATTAGTATTTTTACATGTTTTACTTTTTACAATGATTAGTGATACATTTCATATCACTATGGGTGACTTAGAATCAAGCTTCTAATCTTCAAATCTAGGTTTCGGTTAAATTCAGGCTCTCGTTTCAATCTTCTGTGGAATCTTCCTATTTCTCCCGCTACACTTCAAGTTCCTGACTCGTTCCTTAATCCAACGTTGACCAAATGCCCAATTATGGCTTGATCTCGTACAATAAGCAGTCGAAGTATCTAAACTTCTGAAAAAGAACAAATTTGGAAATGGATGGATTCGAACCGTGGAGGATGTATGTATTAATAGAATAAAATGATTTTGGATGTAAAAATCAGCAAAGTCAATAAATAAACATTCCTAGTTTTGTCCCCTTCATGTACGACACAACTTCATTAATTCAAGAAAAATTTCAAAAAACGCTATATCCCGAATTTTTTACCATAAAATCTCTTCAACAAGAAATTAAAAAATTGAAAAAATAATTGATATAAAATCGAAGAACCTTTGTAGGTATTGCCTGATTTTCTTCACACTATTACTGAAAAATGTTAATCACGAACAGTATCATTGTCATCTTTGTGGGTCTTAACATACAGCTTTAAAATTTATTTCTTTTGACATTCTTTCATGATTTAAGAATTGCACATTCCATTTTTTTTATACTTTACCTTTTTTATTCATCCAGTTTTCTTCTTTCTTTAACCGATGTTATAAGCTCTTATAATTTATTTGCGTTTTTTGTCGATGAATAATCATGAACGGAGGTTCTTTGTATGCTTGATGTGGACTCAATTTCACTCTTTCAAACCTCAGACATGAACAAATATTTTCTCTCCTCACAACAGCCACAAGAATGAGAATTAAAAATAAATTTTCTTTGTTTTTCGTTAAAATGAATTTTTATAAATTTTGACACAAAACCTCCGCATTTTTTTGATAGACAAACTCCCTGACATTAGCATGATATGGCAATAAGAACAATAAGAATGAAAACAATATTTTATTGGCATGCAAACAATGTTGTAAATCAATACAAACGTATACGTTACAAAATATCGTATAGCACGTAAAACAACGGACAAAAATACAACAAATCAATCGATTCTATGTGCATTTCATTCATTCCATTCACCCTAAAAATATAAATCATGTACAAAAAAATTTTTTACAGGTTTTTTACACACCACAAAAAAAAGTTGAACATATATTCCTAATGTGCCGTACGTGACCTATTCATATTTCCATCAATTTTTTGACGGACATTGAGAAATGTCGCAGAGTGAAAAGAAAAGAGAGAAATTGAAGAACAGAATTTAAAACACGTCCTATGCAGCTACATTTTAAACAAGCTTGTTGATTTACGGACACGTAGTGTGAATATTTTGAGAGTGTGTGACCTTAGAACTCAGTTTTTGTAAATACATTATTTTCCGGGAAATAGAATCAACATCAATCACATTCATTTTGAGAAGAAAAGTTTTTATTCCGCTATGCTTGTTCCGCATGATGTCTTAATTATGAATTCGAATGAAAAAACTTGTTTAATTTAACTTGCCATTGTTGATGTCGCATTAAACCATCTCATTTATGTTCATTAAGTAGAGCCCTCATTTTTACAGTTTTCAAGAGGGTGGGTATCAAATTCCTAGTAATTATATATGTTCTCGTCGTTTAAACTATTATTAACGCAATATTTCAATTTTACGCAAAAGAGATTTTTATAGTGGAATTAAAATTATGACCGTAGAATTTCCAACAACATATGTGCACCATAAACATGAAGATATTTAATATTGTTCGTATTTATAGCAAATAACTTAATCCTTTGACTGTGAAATCATGTCACAAATGTTCTTTGAATGGCCTTTTTTGTTATGCTATGATTTTATACTAATCATTTGTACAAATAAATATGAGAACTTAATTTTTAATCGGATGTTAACATAGAACTGATCATTTTTTGTATCGTTCACTTATGACGTCCGAAATTTGGACTAGGAATAATGATGATAGCTTCTTAAAAATAACATATTGACAACAGAAGTCCCAGCAGTCAGTAACTTCAACATCAATTAATGAAAACTTCACATTTACAAATTTTATTGCAAAGAAGTCTTAATAAAACATTAAAATAAATCCACATTGATCCCACTAATTCATTACACTCACAACATTTATGTGCTTCTCATAAAACTCAATTTGATTTATGTTGATTCAAGAATGCATTCTTTTGTGGTTGACATTTTTG